ACTCCTCACAAAGGCAGCTCAGCACTTTCACTTGCTCAGGGCCAGCTAAGCTCACGTGTTGGTGCAAAAAGGAACAAAAAGCTTTTGACAGACTTCTGATACCCAAAGATGGCAGTAACTGATGAATTCTGATTTGGGGGACTAGGAAATACACACTCTCTGTCCCTCTGTAGAATGTCCTTTTTATAAACCAAACTTGCCCCACCTCACTACCCTGATGATACCCCCTTATACAGTCCCAGGTGAATTTCCCCAGCCCCATCTGATATGATTTGGCTGTGTTCCCACCCAAATCCCATCTTAAATTCTCACATGTTGTGGGAGGGACCCAGTAGCAGGTAGTTGAATCATGGGGGCAGGTATTTCCCATACTGTTCTCATGACAGTGAATTAAGTCTCACAACATCTGATGGTTTGATAAAGGGGAGTTTCCCTGAACAAGCTTTCTCTTTGGGGGCTGCCATCCATGTAAGACATGACTTGCTCCTCTTTGTTTTCTGCCATGATTGTGAGGCCTCCCCAGCCATGTGGAAGTGTTAAGTCCATTAAACCTCTTTTTCTTCCCACTCTCAGGTATGTCCTTAGCAGCAGCATGGAAACAGACTAATACAGTAAATTGATACCAGTAAAGTGGGGCACTGCTTAAAAGATACCCAACAATGTGGAAGCAGCTTTGGAACTGGGTAATAGGGAGAAGTTGGAACAGCTTGGAGGGCTCAGGAGAAGATGGGAAAATGTGGGAAAGTTCAGAACTCCCTAGAGACTTGTTGAATGGCTTTGACCAAAATGCTGATTATGATATAGACAATGAAATCCAGGGTGAGGTGGTCTCACATGGAGATGAGGAACTTGTTGGGAACGGGAGCACAGGTGACTCTTGTTATGTTTTACCAAAGAGACTGGCAGCATTTTGCCCCTGCCCTAGAGATTTGTTGGACTTTGAACTTGAGAGAGATGATCCAGGGTATCTGGTAGAAGAAATTTCTAAGCAGCAAAGCATTCAGGAGGTCTCTTGGGTGCTATTAAAAGCATTCAGTTTTAAAAGGGAAACAGATCATAAAAGTTTAGAAAATTTGCAGCCTGACAATGCCACAGAAAAAAAAATCCCATTTTCAAAGGAGAAAATCAAGCCAGCTACAGAAATTTGCATAAGTAAGGAGGAATGAATGTTAATCCCCAAGACAATGGGGATAAATATCTTCAGGGAATGTCAGAGGTCTTCATGGCTGCCCCTGCCATTATAGGCCCAAAGGCCTGGAAGGAAAAAGTGGTTTCATGGGCCAAGCCCAGGGTCCCTGTGCTGTGTACAGCGTAGTGACTTGGTGCCCTGCATCCCAGCCATTCCAGCTGTGGCTGAAGGGGCTAATGTTGAGCTCCGGCTGTGGCTTCAGAGGATGGACGCCCCACGCCTTGGCAGTGTCCACATGGTGTTGAACCTGCAGGTACACAAAAGTCAAGAATTGCAGTTTGGGAACCTCTGCCTAGATTTTTGAGGATGTATGGAAATGTCTGGATGCCCAGGGAGATGTTTGCTGCTGGGGCAGGGCCCTCATGGAGAACTTCTGCTAGGGTAGTGTGGAAAGGAAATGTGGGGTCAGAGCCCCCATAGAGTCCCTACTGGGACACTGCCTAGTAGAGGTATGAGAAGAGGGCCACCATTCTCCAGACCCCAGAATGGTAGATCAACTGGCAGCTTGCAATGTGTGCCTGGAAAAGCCCCAGACACTCAACACCAGTTTGTAAAAGCAGCTAGGAAGGAGGCTGAACCCTGCAAAGCCATAGGCGGGGAGCTGCCCAAGACCATGGGAACCCACCTCTTGCATCAATGTGACCTGGATGTAAGACATGGAGTCAAAATAGATCATTTTGGAGCTTTAAGATTTGACTGCCCCACTGGCTTTTGGACTTGCATGAGACCTGTGGTACCTTTGTTTTGGCCAATTTCTCCCATTTGGAATGACTGTATTTTTCCAACACCTGTACCCCCTTGTATCTAGGAAGTAACTAACTTGCTTTTGATTTTACAGGCTCGTAAAGAAAGGACTTGCCTTGTCTTAGATGAGACTTTCGACTATGGACTTTTGAGCTAATGCTGAAATGAGTTAAGACTTAGAGGAACTGTTGGGAAGACATTTTTAGTTCTGAAATGTGAGGACATGAGATTTGGGAAGGGCTGGCATGGAATGATATGGTTTTACTGTGTCGCCACCCAACTCTCATCTTAAATTCTCATGTGTTGTGGGAGGGACCCAGTGGGGGGGTGGGCGGTAGTTGAATCATCAGTGGGTCTTTCCTGTGCTGTTTTCACGATAGTAAGTCTCACGAGATCTGATGGTTTTATAAGGGGGAGTTTCCCTGCACAAGCTCTCTCTTTGCCTGCTGCCATCCATGTAAGATGTGACTTGTTCCTCCTTGCCTTACCTATGACTGCAAGGCTTCCCCAGCCACATGTAACTGTAAGTCCATTAAGCCTCTTTCTTTTGTAAATTGCCCAGTCTCGGGTATGTCTTTATTAGCAGTGTAAAAACAGGCTAATATGCTACCCCAAAGCTTCCTTCTAACAGTGTACTTAACAGACACCACATATTTTAAAGATGTGTACCAAAATATCTAAAGTAGTTATCTCTGGGTGGTAAATTTTGAGGTAATTTCAATTTTATTCTTTATGCTTTTGTGCACTGTTAGAATTTTTTACTATAAACGTGTCATTTCTGAGATACTCCAAAGTTGTCTTTCAGAGCCAGCTCTTTTCCCCTAGTTGAAGGTTTTCTGCAGGAACTATACAGGCTGATATCCCAGAGCTTACCTGCTAAAAATCAAGGTAGAAAATATCCAGCTATATAACTGCTCCCACAAATGTGTGATTTTCAGAGGGAAAGTATTAAAGAGCTGGGACTCTGAGATCCAAGACCCAAGAACCACTTATGAAGCACATACAGTTAATTCTAGTGTTCTACTGCCACCATTCCTTCCCAAGCAGACTACAGTGAGAGGCCAGAAGCTCAGATGCAAAGTTTGCAGCAGGGATGGGGAATACAGCAACATGGAGGCTTCAACAGTCCAGAACAGAGAGAACTTTTAGGTATCTTTTTTTAATTTGAGACAGCGTCTCACTCTGTTGCCCAGTCTGGAGTGCAGTGGCGCGATCTCGGCTCACTGCAACCTTCGCCTCCAGGGTTCAAGCAATTCTCCTGCTTCAGCCTCACAAGTAGCTGGGACTACAGGCATGCACCACCACGCCCTGCTAATTTTTTTTTTTTATTATTTTTAGTAGAGACTGGGATTTACCATGTTGACCAGACTGGTCTTGAACTCCTGACCTCAGGTGATCTGCCCACCTCAGCCTCCCAAAGTGCTGGGATTACAGGCATGAGCCACCGCGCCCAGCCAACTTTTGGGTTTCTTAAACAACTCATGGTTTCTTAAACAGTCCCATTAAGAAACCTGCTGGTCTCTCAGAATTCCTTTCATACACCCATATACATGAAGAACACAGAGGCAACAATGTTGAAAGATCTTAGAGGGATCAGAACTTGCCCCAAGTATAAGGAAAGCTGATACCAAAGAGGAAAATGAAGCTGAGAAATCTGGCTTCTTGCTTAGTGGCCTATTTATTAAATTATGCACATAGCTTGCCTTTTTGGCCTTCTACCTTCAACCATTTTTTGTTATACAGAATTATATTTTTTGTACAGAATTATAATTAGGTTGACTAAGTCATATCAATATTAAATACACATTTGTTTAAAGCAAACAACAAAAAGCTCTTGTTTCTCCAGTCTTTGATACCTACTCTTCATGTATATGTATGGTACTAGTAAGCAAGTACACAAAAAAACTCAGTATTATCCAATCTCAATGATTTTATCCATCATTTAGATCTTCTGTTCCTTAATCAATCTTGTTCCATCCCAAAGAGCACAAAGCTCTATAAAGTGAAAGAAGAAAAAAGGGCAAAAATGGAAGAAGCTACAAGGAAGACAAAGAAGACACATTGATTCTAAAACTAAACAAGAGAGAAAAGAGCAGAGAGATGCATTTGACTATAATTTAAATATCACAGGTGCGGTCTAATTATCAGGGACATTCATCAAATATGCTGCCCAGACATGCCCAACAACATAGTGCTACCCAGATCCAGTTCCATGAGAATGCTCTCTTCTTGGGGTCCCTCACTCATATTCCTCAGTTATATATAAAAATCTCTACCCCTAAAGAAATGTTGGTGGAGGGAGAAAACAAAGAGTCATGGTGACACCAGTGTATATATACTCCAAAGACTTCTTCCCAGGCCTTTCTAATGACTAAGAAATTCGAAATAGGAAAGCACTTGCCCCCAGCTAGTTTCATAACAGCCACAAAATAACATACCAGTTCTGTTGGTAATTCTAAAAAAATTAAAAATAAAACGATCTTATTTCTAATCATGCTTTAAATCTACTTTAGAATGAAATAGGAAATACATATTTTAAATCAATTCTTTTCTTAGCCAGGTACAGTGGCTCATGCCTATAATCCCAACACTTTGGGAGGCCAAGGCAGGAGGATTACTTAAGCCCAGTAGTTCGAGACCAGCCTGGGCAACATGGCGAGACCTTGCCTCTATAAAAAATAAAAAACAATTAGCTGGGTGTGGCGGCATGCTCCTGTAGTCCCAACTACTCAGGAGGCTGAGTCAGGAGGCTCACTTGAGCCCAGGAGTTCAAGGCTACAGTAAGCTACGATCATGCTACTGCACCCAGCCTGGGTAACACAGCAAAACACTGTCTCTTAAAAAGCAAAACAAAACAGAAACAATAGTATAAATACAGAAATAACAATGTATGTATGTCAGTTGATAAAGATGATAAGTGTCTCTGGAATGATATAAATTGAACTAAATGTTCATTGTTTTTACTTTTTTCCTGAAAAGTTATTCATATTCACCAAAATAAAAGAAAATAATCTTGGTAACACCATATGTGCTGGGTTCATCCCAAAGCCCTTCTCTCCCCTTCTCACTCACCCAGAGGTACCAATACTTGAGCTCTCACCTCTTGAGGCAGCTCCAGCTTTGACCGGTCATCCAGGCCATTGGAATGTAAGCCCATCAGGTATGGAACAGGAGCATCTAAGAAATGCAGGAGAGAAGCTGGGAGAATAGGGACATAGACATGCTGCCACTGGAAAGGAAACATGAGAGCTGTAATCGTCTCCGCCACAGTCATCAGTCTCTGGTAATCTGGGTCAAAAAAAAAGCACACATACAAATCAGTCGAAAACAAGGCACTTCCTTCCCAAACAGTAAGTTAAAACCTTCAATACAATTTCTTATTTAGAAAGGATTAGGATAAACTTTAGCAAGGGTATGCTCAAAGTGATTCCCTTGAGGGTGTCAGAGAGACAACCAAGAGACCCCTGTGGACCACAAATTGAAATAAACCTACACACACAGGTACTTGCTCATAATAAAATCTAATATGGAAATACAACAAAAATAATTAATGGCATCTTGCTCCAAATACTACGCCAGAATGTGATAGTAGATCCTCTTAAGAAAGAAGGTAAGAGAACGGAACAAAAAGAAAAAACAGTTGGTCTGGGACCCAGTTTAGCATGGAAGCAAAAAGGCTCATTTCTCACTAAGATACTTCTGCAGAACATCCTGTAAGGAGCTTATGTGAGCTTTGCCTGCAAAATCAAGCACAAAGAACTACAAAGCATGCAGAAGCTGATTTTTCCACATTAGCCAAGTCTACCCTATACCTGGCAACCTTTCCTGAATGAAAACAGCATAAAAATGTTATTTTAACATTTCAATAAAAAGCTTCCCTAGAGGCTGGATGCAGTGGCTCACGCCTGTAATCCCAGTATTTTGGATCACCTGAGGTCAGCAGTTTGAGACCACACTGGCCAACTAGCTGTACTCCAGCCTAGGTGACAGAGCTATACTTCTTCTCAAAAAAAAAAAAAACTTCCCTAGAACTTGAAAGACCCAGGATTGACTTTCGTGATTCAAAACTCTTGTTACAGGTCAGAGACTATAGCCTGAAGGGAAATCTTGTGATCAATATTTGGCTGCTCTTCAGAATGTAATTTCTAGCTCTTTAAAAAAAAAAAAAAAAAAAAAAAGAGTAATATATTGGTAAAGCCAAAAAAACTGACTGGTTAAAGCTGAAATTTGACAAATTACTATTCACAAATATGATGGTTTCAGGCATTTAAGAACAAAGCAGAAACATACATTTTTAAATCATATAAGTAAAATTTTTCTGGAATGGGTGGTTTTAAATGAGCTGTCACAGGAATTAAAATGATTTTACATGCTAAAAATTCGCCCTACCATTTAAATCACAGCTTGGTTCATAAAGTAGCTGTAAGTAACAAAAACTTTCTAGGAAATGAGAAAGTCTCAGTAGAAAGGGAGTGGAAGCTGAAAAGCAGAAGTTGAGCAAAACATCCTACATTTGCTCACTAATAAAGCTTTGAAAGTTGCCTATCACCTTGCTCCTAGATAATCAAAGAAGAGCATAACCTGTAAATAACTTTACTAGTGTGATAAACATATATATTTGTTCTCTTCCCTGGTTCCTGAAACACACAGCTCCTAAAACCCTTGGAATCTACTGGGCATTAAGAATCTCTTTTAAGTGACATTGTCTCCCTTAAATGCACCAGGTCCATTTTTATGACTTGTATGTGCAGATAAAGACATCAGGCTTGGGACTACTCTATAAATAAGTCCCCTCTAAACAAACCGCAGGCAGCTCCTACATATTTACAAACACTTATAAACTGTCCGGGCAAGTTGCAAAACAATGATTAATTAGTATGCTCCCATTTGTGTTCTTTTTAAAAAGTATATGCATAGTATGTACACGGCTGTATCTACAAGGAAACAGAAAACAGTGAAGAAGAACCAGGGAGCAGAAATAGAAGTCGTACACTTCATTGTACACTCTTGTAATGTTGTACATTTCTACCCTTCATTTTACACTCTTGAAATCCTGTTTTTCAAGTTAGTTTACACTCTTGGAATGCCTTTTTTCAAGTGAGTGAGTGAGTGAGTAAGTTATTTGGAGACAGAGTCTTGCTCTGTCGCCCAGGCTGGAGGGCAGTGGTGTGATCTCTGCTCACTGGAAGCTCCGCCTCCTGGGTTCAAGCGATTCTCGTGCCTCAGCCTCTTGAGTAGCTGCGATTACAAGTGTGCACCATCATGCCCAGCTAATTTTTTGTATTTTTAGTAGACATGGGGTTTTACCATGTTGGCCATGCTGGTCTTGAGCTTCTGATCTCAAGTGATCTGTCCTCCTTGGCCTCCCAAAGTGCTGGGATTATAGGCATGAGCCACCACACCCGGCCTCAACTTTTATTTTAATATACCATACATCTTTCATAGTGTATTTGTATAATTTAAAGAATATTTACATTAATACATGTGTATTCAACACCTAACATAAAAAATAGTACATTGGGCCAGGCGTGGCGGCTCATGCCTGTAAACCCAGCACCGTGGGAGGCAGAAGAAGAGAGCAGATTGCTTGAGGTCAGGAGTTTAAGACCAGCCTGGCCAACATAGCAAAACCCCATCTCTACTAAACATGCAAAAAGTAGCTGGGTATGGTGGTGTGTGCCTATAATCCCAGTTACTCAGGAGGCTGAGGCAGGAGGATTGATTTAACCTGGGAGGCTGAGGTTGTAGTAAGCCTCCTAGGCAACCTAGGCAACAGAGTGAAACTCCATCTCAAAAAACAAAAGAAAAAGGACGTTATTAAAAACACTGGAAAAGACGGCATTTTTAAAAATTAAGAGATTACTTCTCAGATGCAGAATACTAGATCAAAGAAAAAGGGGCTGGGTGCAGTGGCTCACACCTGTAATCCCAGCACTTTTGGAGGCCAAGGCAGGCAGTTCACTTGAGTTCAGGAGTTTCAGACCAGCCTGGCCAACATGGCAAACCCCATCTCTACTAAAAGTACAAAAATCAGACAGGTGTGGTGGCACATACCTGTAATCCCAGCTACTTGGGAGGCTGAGGTATGAGAGTTACTTGAACTTGGGAGGTGGAGGCTGCAGGGGACCAAGATAGCGCCACTGCACTCCAGCCTGGGTGACAGAGAGAGACCTTGTCTTAAAAAAAAGGAGTGGGGGGGACTTTCAACTTTCTCTGCATTATTTGTGCACATCGTATTTATTTCTATTTGTTTTTAAAAACTATTATTTTCATTAAAGATACACAAAAAATTTGATATCCAGCTACATATAGAGAGGGGAAAATATTTGATTCCCTGTGGAACTGTTTTGATTTTATGCCTTAAGCATTTATTATTTTTACAGTAAATGACTACTTTAAATAGTAAAATATCATTAGAGATTTCTCATTAACCTTTACTTAGCCAGGTCACTTTACTGATTGATACTGCCCACTCTGAGTAAAGCATACATTGCTCCCACTCATTTGTTCCCAAACCTGTGCTAGCTGAACTTACTACTGGATTATATAACATAACCAAATATAGTGTACATAAATGGCAAACTCTGAGGGCAAAAAGAAAGAATGGCTATTTCTCTGAAAACAGAATTAAATGCTTTTAAAAGACTCAGTAATGCGAAGTCACTAAAAAAAACACTGTATTGAATTAGGCATATAATGAAGCAATTAAGAATAAAAAACTAGTGCTCACTTCGACAGCACATATACTAAAATTGGAAAGATATAGAGAAGATTAGCATGCCCCCTTCGCAAGGACGACATGAAAATTTGTGAATCGTTCCATATTTAAAATTATTCTAAAAAAAATAAAAATAAAAATAAATACTAGGGAACACTACAAAAATCTAGAGGTAGTCTCTACTCTTGTTCTTTGGCAAGGTTCTTTATCACTCCACTTTACAAAAAAAGAGGAATTAGGGCCGGACGCGGTGACTCACGCCAGTAATCCTGGCACTTCGGGAGGCCTAGGCGGGTGGAGGTCAAGAAATCGAGACCATTCTGGCCAACATGGTGAAACCCTGTGCCTACTAAAAATACAAAAATTAGCTGGGCGTAGTGGCATGCACCTGTAGTCCCAGCTACTCGGGAGGCTAAAGAAGGAGAATCGCTTAAACTTGGGAGGCAGAGGTTGCAGTGAGCTGAGATCACGCCACTGCACTCCAGCCTGGCGACAGAATGAGACTACCTCTCAAAACAACGACAACAACAACAACAAAAGTAACAAGAAAATCTAGTCAATGCATTATGGGTGTGGTTTATGCAAGAAAAACAATGCAGATATCTGATTTGTGATTTCGTAATCATGGGAAATGGCTGGACTCTTCAACAAAGATTATTGACTATACAGTTGTATGTATTAAGTTAAATTACTTAGGCCAGGTGCGGTGGCTCACACCTGTAATCCCAGCACTCTGGGAGGCCAAGGCCAGTGGATCACCTGAGATCAGGAATTCGAGACCAGCCTGGCCAACATGGTGAAACCTCATCTCTACTAAAAATACAAAAATTAGCCAGGCTTGGTGGCGTGCACCTGTAGTCCCAGCTACTCAGGAGGCTGAGGCAGGAAAATCATTTGAACCCAAGAGGCAGATGTTGCAATGAGCTGAGATCCTGCCATTGCACTCTAGCCTAGGCAACAAGAGGGAAACTCTGTCTCAAAAATAATTTAAAAATAAATTTAATTATAAAATTTAATCATAAATTTATAATTTAATTATAAAATGTAATCATAAATTTATAATTTAATTATAAAATTTAATTATAAACTTATAATTTAATTATAAAATTTAATTATAAAATTAATTGTATATATCATTTTTAGGATTCTGTGACGTAACTGTTTTGGTTTCCACTTCAGATAAAGAGCTTCTGTTCTGCATATAATTTTAAAATAAGGCCAGATGCAGTGGCTTATGCCTATAATCCCAGCACTTTGGGAGGCCAAGAAAGGCAGACTGCTTGAGCCCAGGAGTTCGAGATCAGCCTGGGCAACATGGCAAAACCTTTTCTCCACAAAAAAATACAAAAACTAGCCAGACACAGCAGCATGTGCCTGTAGACCCAGCTATCTAAGAGGCTAAGACAGGAGGATCATCGGAGTCTGGGAAAGTCAAGGCTGCAGTGAGTCACGACTGTGTCACTGCACTTCAGGTGACAAAATGAGACCCTGTCTCAAAATACAGTAATAATAATAATTTTTAAACAACCAATTAAAAATTGTGCTATTGAAAAAACACTATTTCTATATGAACTAAAGAATAAGTCGTATCCAGAAGCAAATAAAATGACCTATACCAAAAAGAAAACACAGTTTAAAACTGCCAATTCAATATTCCAAAAGGTTACACTTTCAGAATCTTACAATTCAGCCTGCATTCCTTTTCCCTCAGTAACACTCCTTTTCTATTCGGAAGGCAGGACATGCAGCAGCCAAAACCAACTGCTGTGGTGATAGCTTGTTTTTGGCCAGAGTGATTTTTATCCACACAAGGAAGATGCCTTTGAATCATTAATAAAAACTACTTGAAGAAAACCAACCTAAATTGTTTAAAGCACTCTATTAACAACAAAAAGCATAATTTACATCCAATGAAAAGTAATCCACTCCACTTTGGCCTCAGCCAGGCTCGGCAATATCCAGGAAATTTCTGGAAAAAGCTTTCTCTTGTCCATGTTCAGCATGACTTTAGGTCCTAAGTTCAATTCAATTCTACATACTAACCATCTCAATTACATTAGAACCTCTTACAAAATTCTTATCATGGATACAAGAACCCATATTTTAGGAAATACAGAAGCAGCTCAGATGGAAGAATGTTATTTCTCCACTGTGTTCATCATATTTGTTTCAATCCTCCTTTCCTTGCCTCTAAACAACTCCCACACACACACTGCATTATAGGTACCTAAAAGCCTACTGTATCTTCTAACACTCTATATAGTTTGGTTTCCTCCTCTCTGTTCTGTTCTAAACCAGAGTTCTTCCATATTTAACTAAGTTTCATTTCAAATTATTTTTATGAAGCTCCAGCCAAGAAATAGCTAGGAAAGCAATATGATTTGTCCGAGTCTATATTTCACCCAGAGACAGGAGGCTGTAACTTCATATCTTAAACTGTAAGTTGCAAAGTGAAGCCTCGGGAACTACATTTAGCCAACAGATAATGTTTGGCCTGCAGTGTTTAAGAAGAACATTGTTGCCAATACTTAAAAATCAGAGATTTCATATAAAAAATCTGGGTCCTCATGAAATACTGGAATATTTAGTCACATAAGGCCAGTATACGCACAGGGAATTAACTGGAGCTAATTCATAGCTGTCCACTTTATATGAGGTATGTGCTCTTTCAATCCCAGCATTTCAGGAGGCCAAGGCGGGCAGATCACCTGAGGTCAGAAGTTCAAGACCAGCCTGGCTGGTCAACATGTTGAAACCCCATCTCTACTTAAAAAAAAAAAAAAAAAAAAATTAGCTGGGCATGGTGGTAGGTGCCTGCAATCCCAGCTACTGAGGAGGCTGAGGAAGGAAAACTGCTTGAACCCGGGAGATGGAGGCTGCAGTGAGCCAAGATTGTGGCAGTGAGCCAAGATTGTGGCACTGTACTCTAGCCTGGCTGACAAAGCAAGACTCCATTTCAAAAAAAAAAAAAAAAAAAAACCAACATTTTGCCAGCTTAGGCAATAAAGCCAGACCCTAGTTCTACTAAAAACAATTTTTTTTTTTTAATTAGCCAGGCATGGTGGTGGGCACCTGTAGTTCCAGCTACTTGGGTGGCTACGACAGGAAGATCACTTGAGCCCATGATATCAAGACTGCAGTGACCCATTATTGTGTCACTGCACTCTAGCCTGGGCAACAGAGTAAGGTCTTATTTCTTTAAATAAATAAATAAATAATTTATTTAACGCTGGTCACAGTGGCACCTGTAATCCCAGCACTTTGGGAAGCCAAGGCAGGAGGCTGAACCCAGGAGTTTGAGATCAGCCCGGGCAATATAGTGAGACCCCATCTTCACAAAAAATAAAAAATTAATCAGGCATGGTGGTACGTGCCTGTAGTCCCAGCTACTCAGGAAGGTGAGGCGGGAGGATCGCTTGAGCACAGGAGGACGAGGCTGCACTGAGCCATAATGGCACCACGGAACTCCAGCGTGGGCAACAGAGTGAGATCCTGCCTCAAAAGGGGAAAAAAGAAAATAAGAAAATCACCATTTTCAACCATCCTAGAAATAACTAATTCAGAATATAATCATCAGTAGATGCTAAACTATTAGGCATCTGTAAACTACAAATATGATACAAAAAATAAAAACTTTTTAAAAAGATTAGGCAAAACTTTAAAAAAGAACAAAATAATTAGTTTCAAAGTATCTCCTCACAACTTACATGTTAATTACCAAGGGAAAAATTGTAACTTTTCAGTTAAGAAACTGCAGACACCATCTTAACCAAGTGAGCAGATTAGTATCACCAAATATGGGACAAAATGACATCATATGCCTGCCTCCTATAACCACGAAAACTGACAGTATGTGCCTCCTAATAGAGAGAAGAACAACATCACTTCTATGGTATTTCAGGCAAAAATTTATAATCTGAATCTCATCACAAGAAAACATTAGACAAAACCAAATTAAGGGACATTCTATAAGATAACTTGCTTGTATTCTTCAAAACGTCTATGTCATGAAAGACAAAGGCTGAGAAACTCACAACTAAAAGCAATGCATGATATTGCACTAGATCCTGAATAAGTTTTTTTTTGTTTTTTTTTTTTTTTTGAGACGGTGTCTTGCTCTGTCGCCCAGGCTGGACTGCAGTGGCTCGATCTCGGCTCACTACAACCTCCGTTTCCTGGGTTCAAGCGATTATCCTGCCTCAGTCTCCCGAGTAGCTGGGATTACAGGCACATGCCACCATACCTGGCAAATTTTTTGTATTTTTAGTAGAGACAGGGTTTCACCATGTTAGCCAGGATGGTCTCAAACTCCTGACCTCGTGATCCACCTACCTCGACCTCCCAAAGTGCTGGGATTATGGGCGTGAGTCACTGAGCCTGGCCAGAAACTTTTAAAAATTCCCATAACAGACATTACTGGGTACTAGAAAAACTTTAATATAGTATTGTATCAATGCTAGATTTCCCAAATTTAATCAAAGACAGTTACTTAAGAGAATGTTTTTATTCTTAGGAAATAAACATTTGAGAATTTAGGAATCTGCAACAACTCTCAATGGTTAATAACTCTCTATGTTCATACAGAGAGAGAGATGGTAATAAAGGAGAGAGATGGTAATAAAGGAAATTAGGCAAATGTTAACAACCGGCGAATTTGGGATAGGGTATACAAGAGTCTCTTGAATACTCCTTGCAACTCTTCCATAAACTAGAAATTATTTTAAAATTAAAAATTAAAAAAATTAAAACCTCTGATGGCTATCCATCTAAGAGTAAAAGCCAAAGTCCTTACAATGGCCTACAAGATTCTATACAATCTGGCCTCCTGCTAAGTCTCTAACACCATCATCTACTATACTCCTGCTCATTCACTGCATTCCATCCACCCAGCTTCCTTATTTTTGAAAACATGAAGCACATTCTTGTCTTAGACCATTTGTAGTTCCTGTGCCCTTTGCCGGAAATACTTTTCCTACAGATATTAACAGGTCACTCAGAGATGCCTACCTAACGACCCTGCTAAAAACCGGAACTTCTCTTCCCCAAATACTATACCTTTCTCTGTTCTATTTTTCTTTACAACCCTTAAGTACCTTACAAACAACATATTTTATGTATTTATTTAATCACCTCTCTTCCCCACTAAAATTTAAGTTCCACTATAGCAACAATTTTTCTCTCTTGTCCACCACCACTCTTGAAACAATGTCTAGCACATAGGCACTCTCAGTAAATATGTACTGGATGAAGGAATTTCATGTTACTAGCCTAGCTTATCAAGTAAGCATATGTTTCTTTCTGATCTACTTTACTATTTTGTCCAAATATGCTGCTCACACTCAAACTCTCATTTATAAAAACAATTCAGTTAAGCAAACAACAAAAAGAAGCAACACATCCACATTTTCTCAAATATATTTTCTCAATCTATAAAGGATTATCCTTTGTGAAAAGGCAGAAATAGCTCCACAGAATGACAGAACAGAATTGATGGAACATCGGCTTCCTGTGACCATCACCTCCTACTCACCCCTCTTTTCAGCTTAAATCAGAAGGGACATCAGGAAGCAGTGTTCCCCTCCAAGAGTGAATGCCCAGCAAAAGGCCATGAAGACAGTTAATCAGAAATATTGGTCCTCTCATGTTCATCAATTTGCCATCCACCACCTACCTGCAAAAAATCTGGGTTTTGCTCAAACTGTAATAGTTTTTAACCTTTACAGTCGGCACCACTGTATCTGAACATGAAAAGAAAGGAAGCTTTAGGTAGGTAGGAAGCTCTAGTAAGCATTGACTTACGCTGTGAGTAGAGCAGGATTTGAAACTCCAAAAGGGCACAAGTAAAAAGTTGAAATACATTCTCTACCCCGAGCAGTTCGAAAACCTCTTTGACAGGAAAGTCAAATAGGGGAAGCTCATTGGTACTTGGTCTCTGGCAGATTATTGGCCCATAGACCCCAGAAAACTTCAAGGACCGGCCAGGAGGTGGGAGTGGCACCTCGTAGAGTACGTTGTATATGTAGCTCTCAAGGGGCAGTGGAGGGGGCTGAGGTGAAGTGACTGCCTGGTGGAGTTGCTCCAGCACACTCCGACATGCCTTCATAAAAGACATGGGCGTGATGAGGCAGATGCATTTAGAGACATAGAGAGTGTCCCGGCTAATGTCATAGGAGTTGAAGCGCTGCAGTTTGGTCACAGGAGTGTCTTCACCATCCTCCATGCCGCTCAGGTCTCTGCCATCAGCAGGGGAAGCATGCAGGACATCATACTCAGCATTGTGCATGTGGTAGAGGGTCTGCATTGCACTGCAGATCTGCTTGCTAGTCACCTCTTCATAAAATGTGAGGGCAAACCCAAATGTCCGAGAGCCATCCTCCCTTGTGATAAGAAAGGCGTGGAATTGGGGCTCCCTGGGATCAGCCTGGGTCTTGAATGCCAGCCCTTTGGGCATACATAGCTGCAAAAGACAAGAAGGCAACAAGCAGTGAGAACACTCACTGGCGGTTCTCTTTTCAGAACACCATCACGATTTATTTATTTACAGAGCACCTACTAAGCTGAGTATTTATCTGGCTTAAAACTCTCTCTTTCTAATGCAAGACACGCAAGTAAATAAAATCATAATGCGGTCATCAAGGATAATCAGAAGTATATACAAAGTACTATGGGAACACAGAACAGACAACTCAGCCTGGGAATATCAGAAAAAGCTTCAAAAATGGGCCAGGCACAGTAGCTCACGCCTGTAACCCCAGCACTTTGGGAAGCCAAGGCAGGTGGATTGCTTGAAGCCACGAGTTCAAGACCAGCCTGGGCAACATGGCAAAACCCTGTCTCTACTAAAAATACAAAAATTAGGCAGGTATGCTGGGTGCACACTTATAATTCCAGCTACACAGGAGGTTGAAGCTTGAAAAATCACTTGACCCAGTTGGCAGAGGTTGCAGTGAGCCAAGATCATGCTCTGCACTCCAGCCTGAGCGACAGAGCAAGACTCTGTCACCAAAAAAAGGTAATGTTAGAGTTCAACAGGTACACAAGGGATAGAAGAGTATTTCAGGGACAAGAAGAAAAGGCACAAAGACACGGACATAAAAGAAAACTTAGAGAATTTAGGAAATGGTAGGTGTTAAGCATGACAGCATGACAGAGAGCAAGATATGTAACTTAGGAGATGATGCTAGAAATATATTTAAAAACCAGATAGATGCAACTTTATACCTAAAAATAAAACAAACTTGTAAATAATTTTGGACTATCACCTCACAAAATTTTGTCATTAGTAAAACTTCTTTTCACATCAAAAAGTATGTTCATTTCATATAAACCAAGGAGATGACATAATCAGGATAAAGATGTACTGTTTTCACTCTAATTCAGATGGGTTATAATAAAGAAACTTGGAAGTTAATCAAACTGACCTGAATCAGTTCCCATTTTCCAGTTTTACATGAACCTGGCTATACAAATGCCTGGGTTAACAAATACAAGGACCTATATTATGTTATATCCATTAGCCTTAAACTTGAATTCCCAAAGACTAGGTATTTCTGTTAAAATGAAATAAACACTGGACTAGGAGTCAAAAAACTTAAGGCTCTCTAAGACAGTTTCTTCATCTGTGAAATAATAATACAGTTTCCTCTGCCTACTTCTCAGGGTTTTTTGTGAGCATCAAACAAGACCATCCTGTTAAAACTACAGAATGCTATTTAAAATCTAATAGAATTAGCCGGGCGTGGAAGCGCATGCCTGTAATCCCAGCTACTTGGGAGACTGAGGCAGGAGAATCACTTGAACCCGGGAGGTGGAGGTTGCGGTGACCCAAGTTAGCACCACTGCACGCCAGGCTGGGCAACAAGAGTGAAACTCTGTCTCAAAAAAAAAGAGTCAGTAGAAAATCTAATAGAAAGGCCAGTGTGATGGCTCACGCCTATAGTAGTAACACTTTGGAAGGTCAAGGTGGGCAGGTTGCTTGAGCCCAGGAATTTGAGAACAGCCTGGACAATATGGCAAAACCCTTTTTCTATAAAAAATATACAAAAATTAGCTGGGCATAGTGTCACACACCAGTACTCCCAGCTACTTGGGTGACTGAGGTGGGAGGATCACTTGAGCTAAGGAGGATGAGACTGCAGTGAACCGAGATCACACCACTGCTCTCCAGCAACCTGGGCAACAGAGTGAGACCCTGTCTCAAAAACAAATGTAATAAAGGCAGTACAAAGATAAGGTTAAGAGCAGAGGTCTGGAATCAGACTACAGCGTTCAAACTCCAACTCAACTACTTATTAGCCATGTGAGCTTGAATACATTACCTAACCTCTTTGGATCTTAATTTCCTCATCTGTAAAATATGTATGTGTGTATGTGTTTATTTAAAACTACCTACGTAAGGAGTATTGTTAATTAAATAAGTTAATTCATGTAAAATGTTTAATAGAGCGTCTATTGGTACAGGGTGAATATTCAATAAAGGTTAGTTTACTCTATATAGTGGTATATTCTTCCACATGAGATTTTAAATGCTGTCTTTTCTAAAATTATGACAAAACAAAAAAATGAAAATAAAATTATGAAACAAAAATACCTACTTCTGTCATATACCTCAGATATATACAGTGCAGAATAAGAGAAAACAATTTTAAACTAATGAAGTTTAAAATTCACTCATCACATAATCTCAGTGCAATAATCAATAGCTCAGGGCCACAAAATAAGTTCACTGACACAATACTATCTATTTCTCTGACACAATAGAAACACATTATAGCTTTTATTGTATTTAATATATTCTGAATATTTGATATATTGACCAAAATGCAGAATAATAATATGCATTATAAACCTTTCTTCAGGCCAGGCGCGGTGGCTGACGCCTGTAATCCCAGCACTTTGGGAGGCCGAGGCGGGTGGATCACGAGGTCAAGAGATCGAGACCATCCTGGTCAACATGGTGAAACCCCGTCTCTACTAAAAATACAAAAAATTAGCTGGGCATGGTGGCGCGTGCCTGTAATCCCAGCTACTCAGGAGGCTGAGGCAGGAGAATTGCCTGAACCCAGGAGGCGGAGGTTGCAGTGAGCCGAGATCGCGCCATTGCACTCCAGCCTGGGCAACAAGAGCGAAACTCCGACTCAAAAAAAAATAATAAAAAAAATAATAATAAACCTTTCTTCAAAAGTTATTGGTATTTGGTGAGATCACTGCTATCACAGCCTGAACTCACAATCCTATTATAAATTACTCTGTAAATTATCACTTACTATGGCTAACAAATACTAACCATTCCTACCGCATCTTGGTCAAAGGGATTCCATTCTACGTTCTCAGGATATCGTGCAAGAACCTTAGACTTGAATGTTCGTCTCAATGGTGTCTGTTCAAAATTTTCCCCTGTAAGAAAAAGAATGAAGCAAATCATCTCTACAAAGTCCCTTTAAGTCACAAGGTTATTAATGTCTGAGCTTGGTAGTCCAGCAAGGTACAGAAATGAAGGCAAGGGGGTTAGTATGCCAACCATCTAAGAATAGGAAAGGTATTAAAGTTATTAGGTCAGTAAAAAGCTGAAAAAGCATGGTTAATGTTAGATATCACTAGCTATCAGTTCTTCTTCAAAATGAAATTATTACTACAAATCCAACAGTTAACTTTCTTGGGAGACAGTGAGAAAGCACAAGGAATGATAAGGATTGTATCCATCTTTTTTTTTTTCCCCTAAAAGCCACATTTAATTTGCTTAAAGTCAACCAAAAACATCATAGAAGCATATTTTACTTAAAATTCAGAATAAACTACACGTTTCAATGATCTCTGGAAAAAATACAAAGAAGCTAAAAGATGTAAGAACATTAACAAAGCAGATTTCAGGGTAAACCTAATGAGATACTCTGTCAATTCAGAATCACTTGAAATTTCAGGAATTCTCCTTTGTTTTCTCATTCCCCCTCCTAAAAACACTAGAGTATACTGAAATAAGAATATTAAAATGAAGAGAGAAAGAACCAAAGAACCCACCACCTAGAGGGATATAAATCTGAAAAATCTAGTGGCCAAAAAAATCACAAGAAAGTTAGAAGGTCAAAGGTTACAAAATGCCACTGGAGAGACATATGTAAGAACCATTAGAAAGCTTTGGGTATTCTCAATTTTGTTTTGTTTTTACCTTCAGTCGTACTTGAAATGAAAGGGCTGGCACCATCCCTGGCTTTAGAAGCCTGTATGTACTGGCATAATGCTATATGATAAACGAAATAACAGAGTATTACAATAAAGCAGTGTTATTCAAACTTTTTTGACCATTATTCCAGTACAAATTACATTTTACATTATGAAGCAATAAACACATACATGTATGTGTATACACAAATTTAACTAAAACAAAAAATTTCACAAAACAATACTTACCTTTATATAATGTCCTCTCCTATTTCCTACTCTATATCATTAAAACAAAAAATGCTGACTGCAGGCCTACTAATGATCACAATTCAGTTTGAAAAACATTATAATACAGTATAGTAGAATGAAGAGCTCAACTGATACCAAATTACTGTAAAGTCACTAGTGCTTTATCTGAAAGTATACTGCCCAAATATTGCTTTACCTAAGGAAATAGGGAGTGCAGAACAAATTAAATGCATATAAACAGTTCAAACAAATAAATTTTAGGTGTCTTGGAATATATGGGAAACATAACCAAGGACAATTCAATTGAATTCAATACCTGTTTACTGAGTAATCAAGGGACTTAGATACTGTGGGGACTAGAGATGAACCAGACAAAATATGTACCCTCAATGATCTCAATATATGTACCCTCAATGATCACAGGATGAGATGCACCTGAAGTCAGAAAGTCCCTTACCCTAAATCAATCCCAGAGGCACCTCAAAAGTTTCTAAAAGAGAAAAGTTTATAATAATTGTAAGGTACCTGTACCAGAAACTAATAATAATTCCAGTCAGAAAATTATTGCTTTTATAACTATAATCTCTCCTCTATTTTCTCTGAGATTTTGTCCATCATCAGAAGCAGCAGCTCACTTACTCACAATTTGCAAATTCTGATAGGACTCAACCTTCTTTCTGTTATTAAAAGCAAGTGCCACAATTTCATTCCTTTTATTTCCTGATCCCTTCTTCCAAACAAATTCTTCTAAAACTTCCTTTTTGAGCAAATTTCATTCCTCAAAATACATTTGGTAATCTTCACTACAGAAGATTGGCAAAAATCAGCAGGCAGCTGGTAATAGCTGCAGCAACAAAGGCCTACAGCTTATGTAGAGCTAGGCTCAGAGCTTTCAGTAACACCTGCAAACAGCCCACCCATGGTAAGCCTGCACTTACTGTACAAAGTAATTAAGCTGCAAGCAGCTGACATAATGATCTCGTCTACAGTCTGAAATTCTTGGCATACATTTTTAAACTGCATTCATGTCTGAAAGAAGAAAACTATTTCTTCCTCCTAAGCTTCTTCACTTTCAGTTATCAGTTTGCTCATTTCTTCCTAACTAGCCAGAAAATCCCCTCAGTAAAAACCAAGAAATATCACAACATAGAAAGGATCAGGAAAGCTATTACTGTCCACTGTAAAGAAAAGATGGTTTCCTAAAATGGCTCTAGGTGTCTGGCCATAACCACCCTAAATACACCTGATCTCATCTAAAATGGCTATAAGGTGCTCATTTACAGCATGACATGCATGTGTGAGAAGACAGGACAGGTAAGTGATTAAGGGGAGAACGTTTAAAAACTGAGATGAAGAATGGAGCCAAAGGTGAGCATGACCAGCTGATCTGAAGTGTGGTCAAAAGGGAGAGAAAGGCTATGAATCACGGGAGAAGTGACTGTTGGAGCCTCTGTCTCCACCACCTCCTCTCCACATCTGCCCCTTCTTTAAGTTAGCTAAGGGAAGAAGTCTTGTTAAAGAGTTGGGTTCTGAATAAAGGACTATACGGGGTGCCAAAGTTAGACAAAAGGACTTCTGTGAATTAGACTGGGCCAGTAGCAAGAGCAAAGTATTTTCGCCACAAGGGGAAAGGAGATGTATAAAGAAGTTTGTAAGAGCCCTGAAAACAAATCATATTCATTTCAGCCACTCTACAGAGTGACAGAAAAGGTAAGAGAATAGGATTCACAAACCTAAAATTTTTTTATTGAAATGATTCATTCATCATTTACTGAGGGCTGAGTTTTAAGAATAAACAGTAAGAGGCTGGGCACAGTGGCTCATGCCTGTAATTCCAGCATTCTGGGAGGCTAAGGTAGGTGGATCACTTGAGGTCAGGAGTTAGAAACCAGCCTGGGCAACATGGCAAAACCCTGTCTCTGCTAAAAAATACAAAAATTAGCCAGATGTGGAGGCAGATGCCTATAATCCCAGCTACCCAGGAGGCTGAGGCAGGAAAATCAATTGCACCGGGGGGGGGGGGGGGGGGTGTGAAGGTTGCAGTGAGCCGAGATCATGCCACTGCACTCCAGATTGAATGACATAGGGAGACTCCATCACCAAAAAAAAAAAAAAAAAAAAGAAGAAGAAAGAGTAGGAAAACTTAATCCTCAGAAACACCTACATAGGCTCAGCTCCTGAAACCTTTGTATCACAGGTACCTTAAATTCTCAATTATTCAGACCCTTGGAAGTTCAAACAATATTAGGGATATGACATCACTACCACAGCTGTCCTACTGTCCTACAAACAACAACTCATTATTTGTCCAACACATATAGATTATGCAAACATCAACAGATCTGGATATAAGAACTAAAGCCCATCTCTAAGAACAATTTCAAAATTAGTTAACTACGTGTCAGTCTATCTTTGTGAATCTGCTTCCAAGGAAGTACAATTCAAATTGATCATAACAGATTTTTCTTTATTTATTTATTTATTTTTTTTTTTGAGACAGAGTTTCACTCTTGTTACCCAGGCTGGAGTGCAATGGAGCGATCTCGGCTCACTGCAACGTCCGCCTCCTGGGTTCAGGCAATTCTCCTGCCTCAGCCTCCTGAGTAGCTGGGATTACAGGCACGCACCACCATGCCCAGCTAATTTTTTGTATTTTTAGTAGAGACAGGGTTTCACCATGTTGACCAGGATGGTCTCGATCTCTTGACCTTATGATCCACCTGCCTCCGCCTCCCAAAGTGCTGGGATTACAGGCGTGAGCCACCGCGCCCGGCCTAATAGATTTTTCTTTAAAGCATACATGCCTTACAAGAACTTCTAATAGGTTTTTTATCTGTTCTACTTTGACCAAGCCAGAAACAAACTGAAATTTGTTGTTGTTGTTTTAAGATAGGGTCTCACTCTCTTGCCCAGGCTGGGGTGTGCAGTGGCACAATCACGGCTCACTACAGCCTCAACCTCCTGAGCTCAGGCTATCCTCCCACCTCGGCCTCTAGAGTAGCTGGGACCACCACGTCCAGCTAATTTTTAAAAAATTTTTTTGTAGAGTCAGGGAATAGCTAGGTTGCCCAGGCTGGTCTCAAACTCCTGGGTTCACAAAAGCCTCCGGCTTCAGCCCCCCTTACCGGCATACTCCACCACACCCAGCTTAAAGACATTTTTATATCTGGCTTCTTGAAGGTGATAGGGAGCATAATATAAAGATCTGTGAAACTGCAATGGAAAAAAATTGATTTTATCAACAGAATATTTTATATCTAGTTCACAGAGGTTCTGCTTCCAGTGGCAGAGTAGTTCCCATCAGACCAACTTTCCTGCAGACAATTATAAAGCTGTCTAGAGAATTAAAAAGCAGGAAGATTCTGAAGTAGGGGAAACGGTCAGCACTTCAAAAAAGGTAATTATACTGGGTGAGTTTCCCTTTTTTATGGCTTCCAGTCAGGCAAGTACCTATCTGTCAGAAGAAGTGGGTAAAACTCAAAAACTCATAATCTTACTAGCTTATGAAACCAGGGGGCAAATTTTAGGGCAACCACAGCAGCTGGGCAGTGAAAGAGGGAAATTCTAGAGAGAACTAGAGAATGGAAGACCCAAAAAGCTGTGTGCAAACTCTTCCTTCAAAACTGGCTGATCCCTGAACCACGCATGCATGGAGCAGACCCCAAGCAGCCATGTTAAGGGTAAAAGAACTGAACTGAGATTTAAGTTGCCACTTACTACAGGCAAAACATTAAAGAAAATAAAAAAGAATGCTCTCTGGAGGGAGGTAACAAAATCTAGTCTCTACAATCCAGAATTGCTCAGCACATAAAGAAACAGGAAAATATAACCCATTCTCAAGAGAAGAGTCAATCAATAGAAACCAACCCTGAGTTTACTCAAATATTTGAGTTAGCAAACAGGGATTTTAAAGCAGCTATAATCATAATAAATGAAAAAATAGATCTCAGGCCTGGCAAGGTGGCTCACGCCTATAATCCCAGCACTCTGAGGCAGGCAGATCATGAAGTCAGGAGCTTGAGACCAGCCTGGCCAATATGGTGAAACCCTGTCTCTATTAAAAATACAAAAATTAGCCAGGCATGGTGGCGCACACCTGTAGTCCCAGCTACTCAGGAAGCTGAGGCAGAAGAATTACTTGAACCTTGGAGGCAGTGATTTCAGTAAGCCAAGATTGTGCCACTGCACTCCAGCCTGGATGACACACTGCCTCAAAAAAAAAAAAAAAAAAAAAAACACAGATCTCAACAGAGAAATAGACATACAATGCAGTGGGCTGGCTTAAAAGCAGATTGGAATTAACAGAGAAGTTACTGACCTTGAAAAAAGAACAACAAAAATTATCCAATCAGAAACAGAGAAAAAAGGATTAGAGAAAGAAAGAGGCTAGGCATGGTAGCTCATACTCGGAACCCTCAATACTTTGGGAGGCCAAGGTTGAGAGGCCTGCTTAAGGCCAGGAGTTCAAGACCAGCCTGGTTAACACAACAAGCCCCCATCTCTATAAAATAAAATGTACAAACTAAAAAAGAAAGAAAGGAGTTGGGGGTGGGTGGGTGTGTGTGTGTGTGTGTGTGTGTGTGTGTAGGGAAAGAAAAAAAGGGGTGCAGGGAAGACGATCTCAGAGATGTGTGGAACAACAAGTCTAACATACATATAATTAGAGTTCTACAAGGAAAATAAAAACAATGAGGGAGAAAACAACATTTGAAGAAGTAATAATCAAAATTTTCCCAAATGTGGTAAAAGACAAAAATTTACAGCCTCAAAAAGCTCAACAGACTCCAAGCAGTATAAATGCCAACAAAATAATACACAAGTACATTG